GGAAGAGCCAAATTGAATCTTTCCATGCGCAAAAACCCACACGAAAACGCACTTTCACTATTAGCTACATTGGCAAAACGCGTTACTACAGACCGGCGCCCAAAAAACTTCATTTTTTCAAGGCCATTTTTCGCCAATGAAACAACAGTTTTTCCGCGCCCACGTGTCCAAAATCCACGCGAAAACCCATTTTTGCATGCATACACGAGAAAAAGCAAAATCGCCTTTTCGAAAAAAGGCCCTATTACCCCCCCCCCCCTCACCCCCGCCAAGTCCAACTTAATCGGTGGGGGCGGCTTTTTCGAGGTCCAAACCCCAAAAAACCTGGGATCCGTTACGGTGGCGTGACCTTGTTGTTGTTGTTGTTGTTGTTGTTGCCGCTTCGGCTGCCGCCACTGCCAGCACATGCTGATGCTGCTGCTGCTGCTGCTGCTGCTGCTGCTGCTGCTGCTGCTGCTGCTGCTGCTGCTGCTGTTGCTTTTACTACTACTACTACTACTACTACTACTACTACTACTGCTACTACTACTGCTACTACTGCTGCTGCTGCTGCTGCTGCTGCTGCTACTACTACTACTACTACTACTACTACTGCTATGTAAGATGACAACGACCGCGACGCCCACCACCACCACCGCCACGACCAACACCACCACCATCACCACCACCACCGGCCAGCACCATCACCACCACCGACATACGACACCACGACCACCACAATGGCAGGCAACGGTGTCCAGGACCCTTATGGGCTAGGGGTTGCTACTGCCAACGCTGATGCTGGTTGAGTGGCCACCTGGTCCTGCTGTCGCTTACTGCCTTACTGACTTATGGGTAGTTCTCTAAATTAGGGTCCCTTTGTAGATCCCCAATATAGCACGGCACCCTTATAAAAGGACCCCTGAAAGGGACCCCAATTTAGAGAACTACCCTTATACTGTTTTACGACTCATGCCCGCAGGCAGAGCGCCGTCGTGAGGAGCTTCTGGAACGCGAGCGCCGAGAGGAGGCCCTGCGGCAGGCCGCAGAGGACGACGGCAAGGCGCATCATGGGCGATTGAAAAGAGACCCTAACCCCCCAAGTACTTATTGTATAGGGCCTTTAGGGGCTTTAGTACCTCATATAGTAGGCACCTGGGGGTTAGGGAGAGATGCTTGGGATGGGTTGTGTTGCGCACATGGGGTGTTTGGGGTCGTTCGGGGCGGATTGTTGGGCCTGAGACATGGGGACTGTATGCATTCGCCGATGTTTCTTTAAATTTAAAGGTTGCAAAGTTTCTTGGAAGTAGTTGGACTTTGTTTTTGCATCCCACTGCAACTCTCCGATCCCTGCACGCAACTGAGAGAGATGACAAAGCAGTGGTTGCAAGAGTGACGGACCCCTATACGTTCGGGCCATTGAGCAAGTTTGGCGCAGCCCCGTGAGCAAAGTCCGAAAGAAGGCATCTGCAAATAGCCAGCTCTAGAGGAGAGCTTGCGAGTGAAGGCCTCAAGGTACCAAGTTTTCGTCACAGGTCAGACCGAAGTTGGTCATGATCATAGGGTGGACTCGAGAAAAATCTGCGCACCGCGCAGCCTGCCGACTGTGAAAGCCAGGCCGATGCCACTGCCGGGCGGCTCTCCGGGCAGCTTGGCAAGCAACCCCAGACTAGAGGGCAAGGCAGGAGGCACGAGCGTTCTCGTGACCGAACGAGCTTCGTGTCACTTTGATCGTTATGTGTGGCAAATCGTGGTGCGGGGGCCCTAGATCTATCTGACGACCATTGTCGCTGTTGGCAGCTGTGGTGGTCGAGAGGAAAACGGGGAGGAGGATCAACAATACGAGAGCTGAAAGAGGAGGACAAAGAGACCGATTTCTAATGCGGAGGAAGAGCATACAAGCATGAGGATGAAGTCGGCGACAACCGTGGCAATTATGATTGGATGATTTAGATATTGGAAGTTGCTCGCTGCACAAGGTACCCAATATCAAACTGCAACGGCGGTTTTACAAGTTCGGGACTGTTTACGAATATAGGACCGCTTGCGAGTACGCAGCTCTATGCAAACAAACAGCTCTATGTAAACAAAGGGCGCCTTCGACACACTGGGACAGCCAGAGCGAGTTCATCAAGACAGGGCTGTTTGTAAACATCGAAGAGCTCCGCACACGAAGGATACCTATAATCTCCATTGTAGTTCCTTTTTGAGGTTACCTTATAGGATCCTAAATATAGATTTGCTTAAACCAATATAGATTTGCTTAAACCAAAAATACAATGGAGACTATAGGTACAATAGTTGACAATGGTTACTACAAGGTAGCAGACCGGACTTGCTCACTTGACGACTTGATATCGTTCAGATACTTCTATACATGCGTCAGGTATCTCCTCTTGAAGCTACCGTTTGCCCTGCTCCAAACCGTGAGAGAATTGACAGGTGCGTCATGATCGTTACGTGTGTTGAGAAACCTGCGGACACACCCGGCATCGTCGATTTCCAACGAAGTTGTGATGCATATTGATGCATGCTGCGACCATATAGGGTGCTTGATCTTGGTGCCGTCTCCCCCTGGCACAAAGTGATGCAGGATGCTTGGCCTCGATGCTAACCTTGCCAGCCTGGGCAGCTGTGCAGCATGAGTTTGGGGTCCAGCGTTTAAGGTTTTTGGGGGCATTTTAGGGGTTTCGGATGAGGGTTTTAGGGTTCAGTGTTTAGGGCGAATAAGGTACTGGGAGGTATACTTCAGAAGAGGAAAGGAGCTTCGCATCCCTCTAATGCACACCACGGGCGCGAATGCGACGGGGCGTTGGCGAGCCTTGATTACCTTCATCACTGCGGCCGGAAGAGTAGATCAACACTCCAAGTCCTAAAAGCTTTCGCACCAAAGGCCTTACTACCAGCTTAGCGAGCCCAGGAACCACAAAGTAGAGTTGCTTCGAAAGCCTCCTCCTGTTGCTCAGGAAGTGCTTGATCCAAGAGAACCTGGATCATGTGATGTCCAGCGATTTGCTTCAAGCTGAATCTATACACGCTTACGATTTACGAATATGTCATTCGAGAACACCTAACAAGCCTAAGAGACCCTACGCGCACGTCTCACCGAAAGTTTTGAGCTTCGCCCACGTCTCTGATTCCTTCGGTGCTTCTATACCGGAAGACTTGCGCACATGCAGTATACCGTATGCCATATAGCCAAAACAGGCAGTCATGTTGAACATAGCCGGAGACGGAAAGGAGTTGTAGCAGTCGCCAGAGAGCAGTAGTAGAGTTAGCAGATGCCAACTCGCCACTTCGTGGTTCTGCTACGTCTTGGCTAGGTTTCAACATGGGCATTAATTAGCTTTATGGTTGTTCTGATTGATATTCTGGCTATGGTTAACTTTTGTTGTTATTATTAGTGGTATGTTATTGCTAATGTGATTGTTGCTAGGATCAGTATTCTTATTTGGACAGGGCGTGGGCCCGGCATCAAATGCACGCTGCTGAAAGCTGGCAGGGCACGTGCAAGGGTGCACCGAAGCATAGGGGAAGAATTCGCAATTCGCAAGTGCCATCCAGAAATTGAAGTGCCGCTGGGGTCGTTCAATCAAGTTATTGGTTCAGCTGCAGACAGGCCCCTGTAGCTGAGGACGCTGCAGCCGATGAGCACATCTAACAGACTCCTGCACAACGAGTAAGACCTCTGCCCTGCCATAGCCGAGCATCTTGAGTTCAGACCCTAAACCCTCGTGCCTTCTTCCGTATTGTGTCTTGGTCTCACCCAACCCACCTGTGCGGGCCCAAACTTGAGAGCCTAGTCCACAATGAGATTATGAGGTTGTTGTATATTATACATGGTCTTACCGCGGCATGCATACTCATTCCAACTAAGATAGGGGTCAGAGTACGCCCACACCCGTGCGTCATGACTCGCAGCTTTAAGGCCTAACGATGCCCGCTTGCATGTTCACCACATCAGAGTCGGAAGACCCATGAGCAATGGATGCGACGACCTGTGGGACGTCTCCCTTCACGACCTGCGCGCCGTCTACGATCCAGCAGCTTTGCTGAAGTTGAGAGTAAGATTTTTCATAGCCTCTGTGGCCGGAGCACTATGATGTAAGCCAAGTGCTGGCCGATAGCAACTTCGTCGTCCTTGGCGGGCGCGCAAGCCTTGGCTCAAGGCGAAAGGAGGACTGAAGCAGCAACAAGCATTCTCACGACCACCTGCGTGCACTGCAAGATTGCGATGCCAATGACGCACTTACTCAGTAAAAAGCCGGAATGTTTCCTTGACTAGGTGAGGTATTTCTTGGATTCTCGATGCATGTTCACATTCACACACACCCTTTACAATGCGCGAGATGTTTATGCATTCATTCATTCATTCAGTTACTTGTTCATGGAACAAGCATGTGTTCATTCATACAAGATAAACTACATCAACCCTGGTTCTCTACGGCTTGAAGAGGCTTGAGTAGCTTGGACGATGAAGCCCCAAGAAGGAAGTGTGCTCCAGCTTTGAGGGCCCAGGGTCGCAACTCCAGCCCTATACCTTAGTAGCTGAGTAGGTAAGCTTTAACTTTTTGGGGTTTATATAATCCTACCATAATTGAAAAGGTTAACCTTTTTGGGGCCAGGGTACTCAGCACCTATGATACTGTTTAGTGTTAAGGGTTTAGGGCGTATTGAAAATGCCCAAAAGCTGGTGTGACTGCAGGGTCATCGTCAATGCTGGCCCGGCCCCGAAATGGAAGACTTAGGGCTTCGGCCCCTAGCCGAGGAGATGCACTTGTCCATGCTTAGAGACTGCCGGCGGCATGAATTCTATGACCAGTGCCTCGCTAGATGCATCAGCGAGTTGCGTGGCAAGGTGCTCATGCCTGCGTGCCTTCCCGGGGCAGGTCGTAGAAAGGTTTACAACCAGTGTTGAGTTTGGGGATGTTCAAAGCCGGGGCATCCTCCGTTCCACTGTAGCAAGCCATGCACGTCCATGCTTGCAAGTGCTATAAAACATACATACAGTAAATTTTTCGAAGTTAGAGATTGGTTGAAGTTCTATCTTCAAGCAGGTGCACAGGCATCCTTGCCAAGTCATATGTTCTTCAGGCCTGACGATAGCTTTATGCAGGCCATGAAGATCTACAAGCCACCCCCAAAACCTCAAAGGTCCACACCCTGACAACAACCGACTACCAATCAAAATCGACTGCACCCCGGGCACGTCATGCGACCGTTCCTGCAGAGAGAAGCCATGAGCCTTTTCGTTCAGAGAATGGCACAAGCCCTGCAAGATCTTGAGTATAGAGTCGCGCAGGTCGTCATCGATGTTGGCGCCGGGACCGGCATCCTGTCTGCCCTTGCAGCCAGAGGACCGCGAGCAAGTAAGAGATGAAGAGGTGTCAGAGTGGTAGAAATAGACAAATATAGAAGCCTCAATAATTGCGAATTCATGCTACTCCTTAAGCGTACATTTCAAAGTACGGTGGATCATCGCTCCGAGAGCGCCCGTGGCCGCTGACCGCAGCTGATTAACCAAAGCCTGCGAGAGAGAGACAGAGAGAGAGAGACCCCAGAACCCTAGAAGTTCTGGTTCTTCACGCCCCAATGTTACAGGAGTGCAGATCTGCTTGTTTGAGTCCAGGAAGCCTAATGCTGGCAGTGGGGCCTGGGATTGGGCACATGTCTCCAACTTTGTGTTTTTCTCTTCAGACCTGCTGAGCCTCATGGTGTTTCTGCTGAAGGCTGAAAAGCGTCTTGCTTTTGCCTTCCACAAGGAGAGGGCAAAGCGTCTGATCTGAGAACCACGAGAGAGAGCTTCCTGCGGAGTCGCCGTGCTCCTGCGAGTGTTCACCCTGCTGAGCTGAGCTCCAAAGCCTTGGACTTTGGCAGGTGGAGCTGCTGAAGTACATGCTGTAGAGGCCCTCGCAGTCGAGAGTCAAGATTGAGAGGTTCATTTGGAGATCTCTTCCTCGAAGTACTGGGAAGCTGTAAGCAGATAGGAAAAGGCAGCTAGAAACAGTCCATGTTTGGGGCCCTGACGACAGCAACCCCAATTCTGCTGTTGTACTTTTGTCGCACATTTTGTCTTGATATCGTCTGTCTGGAGGGAGGGAGGGAGGGAGGGAGGGAGGGAGGGAGGGCATAAAGACACTGAGTCGGTTTCGATCTGAGTATGGGTGCTCTCTCATCAGCGAACGCCAAAACCTTGAACCACATGCTGCCTCGTGCGAGGCCTTACCTGAGCTTTGCAAGCTGATCCCAAAAGTCCTGGCGGGCGCGCTGCCGAAGGAAGAGGAACCCATGAATGGATGTGTAGTTGTAGCAAAAAGACACACGTTTTGGCTTCGAAAGGATCGGCGACGAGTTGTCGTTCATTGCGACTTCGTGGAGAATCTGTGCCAGAGGAAAAGCGATGCATGGCCAAGGACCCCTGGGTTTTAGGTTTCAGGGGCCTAGGCGTTTTTGGGGGGACACGAGGTTTGGCAACAAGTTCTGGCCCACAGAAATGTTCAAGGACGCCGCAACAGTTACTAGAGTACTGGAGATAGAACGGATTCCTCAACGACTCTCCGAACTGTCAGCTTCACCTGCTACCTTACCCCTGACCCGGAAGAGGTCCTACTACCCTTGTTCAGACCCCCACATCATCGGTGTAGTCACTCTGAACAACTTGGCCCGGTCCCATCGCAATGTCTTGCCAGCATTTCACTACTCGTCCGAGGGTGGAGGCGAGGTGCCCGAGACTCACTGCTGGATCAGGATGCCTTTGGCCGCATCCCACATTTACTCCAGCCTGAATGCTCGTCTGCAAAGCACAGAAGGGCGAGCTTGGTTTTGGGTTCAGGGCTCAGCGATGCCTCAAAGAATAGGCTTTCCGGTCATGATGGTCAGGAGAGCAAGGCATGCGTGGTGAATCAAGGCTGCTTCAGCTCCCTTTGCGAGTTTCCGAAAACAGGGGACCCTAATTTTGCCACCAAACTTGCCGAAACCTAAGCATAAGATTCCGCAGACGGACTGGTAGATCCCAGGCATTGTCTCGCGGTTTTTGATTTGGCAAAAGAACCTAGATTCGCTCCAGACAGGCATTGGTTAACAACTGAGCGATAGCTGCGATCACAAACCTTGGATGGTGTTCTGAACTCTCCACGCTTGTCCTTGTACGGTCTAGCGTTTCGGCCATATACAGATGTTAGCACACGTCCTGGCGCAACTGCCACGAGAGCTGCCAGGAGCGCAGACGTCGTTGTTTCAGCACCGTGGCCGCAGACAGACGAGACCGAAACTACTCTACGGTCTTGACTTGCGGATATGTCGGGGACAGGAGGATGAGACCTAACTGTAATTTCCCTAAGCTCTGCTTCGTGACCCCCGGCTTCGCATCGAAAACTGTTGTATAGCCGTAACCCTTAAGGCAATCTTAGGCCCTACGCAAGCATAAGCCCTGAACCCTAGACGAGTCGTATGGTTGTCTTCGCGCAAGGAGTGGCTTGGAATCCTGGGCCTCAACGAGGGCATGGCTCTGCCCCTGCTGCGCTGTCGGGATTCCTTCAACCCGAGGCGCTGTCACTATCGGGTTTAGAACTATCGTTATAGTAACTTATAAAATCCCCTAAGCCCTACTTCGCGATTCGTTCAGCCATGTAGCAGGCAAAAGTAACTTATAAAATAGTAACTATAATTATAGTAACTATAATTGTAGTAACTATAATATCTTACTTCGTAGCTGACTATGCAACCTTTCAGCTTGTCAGTTTGTGAGTTTTTCAGAGCCGGTATCACAATTGCTAAGTGGTTTGCTTTTTTTGGGGGGGGGCCTGGGAACTCGGCAACCACTCGTAGGTGCATGATAGAGGGTTGGTTGAGGAAGTTTCGGGCTTAGGGTTTCAGGGCTTTCGGACTAGGGCTACCAGTCTATAGGATAGCCCAATCTGTGACCGTCAGCAGGTTTAGCGGCAATCTTTATTTCTATTCGGTGCTACATATACGTTGGTGTTTCGATCCTCTGAACGGTGAACACGTTCAAACAACGGGCAAGGTTCCACCACGTTTCGCGGAGCCAACTAACCTGCGCTAGCCAAGCGTAGTTGAGAGCAGCTTTGCCGATGGGTGGCTGTGACTGGTTGCTGCTATTATGTCAGGCCAGGTTGGTACGACTCAGGTGGCTTAACAGACATGTGCCCGGCCTGGAGAGTCCCAGTGCCAGATACAGCTACAGTGCAGCGGTTGGAACTGGAACTCCCGCAGTCGAAGTCTAACATAATACCTGTTTGCTTCAGGGGCTTAGGTTCCATGGGGTAGGCTTTAGAGGTTCAGGGTTTAGCGGCTTGGAGGTTTAGGTACCCAAAGATCCAAGCTGAAGGCCACTCATGGTGCCCGGCTTGCTGCGGATCTGGATTCAAGCGGCGGCTAGTGCTCCCACTGGTGCAGGCAGTGGGCGCTCTTCAGCCTCTTGGGATCGCTTGGGTTTGCAGTTTACTGTAGGGTTTACCCATACACCCCGTAGTAGTTCCTTTTTGGGGATTACCTAATAGGATCCTAAATACAAACCACAAGAAGCAACTACTATGAGGCCTGAGGGTAGGCCCTATTCAAAGTTCCTCAGTCGCATGCTCCGAAGCTGGGAGCACTGTCATCGGGCACAGCGGTAGCTGGCGGACGAGTGGCTAACTACTGGGCGTTCTTGCTTGCAAGCCTGCAGCAAAGGCCTTAGGGCCTGTAAGGATTTAGAAATACCTACGGTGCTTCCAGTCGAAAGCCAGTCCGTGCCGGGAGCTTGGACGGAAAGATGGGGCACAGACCTCCGGGCCCCTGACATAGTAGATAAAGTTAATCATGTGCTCAGTTTCAAGGAGTACCAAGTAGGATGGGAGCGGTGAGGGCTGTGTTGTGATGGTGTCCCACTTTACCTGTCAGATCCTGTCAGTCTAGACAGTTTGGGAGGTGAAGATTAAAGATGTAGCTCTTTGTCTATCTGGTGCAGCTCTGACAAACGAAGATCGAGCAAGCCCCCTGCGCATTCCATCCATTGCAGGACGGCGATGTGGTCCACTGGCAGCTTGCCTTTTCATCTGTTTCTAACTGTGTGGAACAATGCAGAAAGCAGTAGTCCACGGTAGTTACAATGGCACTGCTCATGTACGAAATGTTCGTGAATTCAGCTCGCTCATAAAAGCTCGGGTGCTTCAAGGCAAGTGGGCACGGCCTCCATCTTCGAATCTTTTTCAGACACATGCGCCGAAGAAGCTAGCATTAACTCTGTAATAAAACACTCAAAGCCCCTCGCAGCCTACGACATCCGAGGCACCCGATGACCTTAAGTTTCCCCAGCCCGCGCACTCCGAAGATCCCGAAAGCCCAAAGCCCTACACCCCTGAAGCGCCAAACCCCCGAACCCCCCAAGCACTTCCTCACAGGGCTTGTGGGAAAGCTCCGTGAGGCAACCTTTAATGTGTTTTCTGCGGCTGCTTCGGAGATCTGCGGCTCTCGCCTTGTGCCGCATCTCTGCTAGCCCTGCTCTGCGTTCAAACGCACGGAGATGGCAGAGTCTGTTCAAAACGATGTCCAGCTAATGCTGGCGATGCTCGCCCATGCTCGCCCTGCGTTTCGCTGAATC